CGCTGTGGCGCGGGCAAGGGTGGGTGGGGGGGGTCTGGGGGCTCGGGGGGGTGGGGGGGCGGGGGGCCGGGCGGGGGCGGAGTGCGTAGGGGGGGTTTGGGGGGGGGGGGGGGGGGAGGGGGGCGGGGGGGGGGGGGGGGGGGGGGGGCGGGGGGGGGGGGGGGGGGGCGGGGGGGCGGGGGGGCGGGGGGGGGGGGGGGGGGGGGGGGGGGGGGGGGGGGGGGGGGGGGGGGGGGCGGGGGGAGGGGGGGGGGTGGGGGGGGGGGGGGGGGGGGGGGGGGGGGGCGGGGGGGGGGGGGGGGGGGGGGGGGGGGGGGGGGGGGGGGGGGGGGGGGGGGGGGGGGGGGGGGGGGGCGGGGGGGGGGGGGGGGGGGGGGGGGGGGGGGGGGGGGGGGGGGGGGGGGGGGGGGGGGGGGGGGGGGGGGGGGGGGGCGGGGGGGGGGGGGGGGGGGGGGGGGGGGGGGGGGGGGGGGGGGGGGGGGGGGGGGGGGGGGGGGGGGGGGGGGGGGGGGGGGGGGGGGGGGGGGGGGGGGGGGGGGGGGGGGGGGGGGGGGGGGGGGGGGGGGGGGGGGGGGGGGGGGGGGGGGGGGGGGGGGGGGGGGGGGGGGGGGGGGGGGGGGGGGGGGGGGGGGGGGGGGGGGGGGGGGGGGGGGGGGGGGGGGGGGGGGGGGGGGGGGGGGGGGGGTGGGGGGGGGGGGGGGGGGGGGGGGGGGGGGGGGGGGGGGGGGGGGGGGGGGGGGGGGGGGGGGGGGGGGGGGGGGGGGGGGGGGGGGGGGGGGGGGGGGGGGGGGGGGGGGGGGGGGGGGGGGGGGGGGGGGGGGGGGGGGGGGGGGGGGGGGGGGGGGGGGGGGGGGGGGGGGGGGGGGGGGGGGGGGGGGGGGGGGGGGGGGGGGGGGGGGGGGGGGGGGGGGGGGGGGGGGGGGGGGGGGGGGGGGGGGGGGGGGGGGGGGGGGGGGGGGGGGGGGGGGGGCGGGGGGGGGGGGGGGGGGGGGGGGGGGGGGGGGGGGGGGGGGGGGGGGGGGGGGGGGGGGGGGGGGGGGGGGGGGGGGGGGGGGGGGGGGGGGGGGGGGGGGGGGGGGGGGGGGGGGGGGGGGGGGGGGGGGGGGGGGGGGGGGGGGGGGGGGGGGGGGGGGGGGGGGGGGGGGGGGGGGGGGGGGGGGGGGGGGGGGGGGGGGGGGGGGGGGGGGGGGGGGGGGGGGGGGGGGGGGGGGGGGGGGGGGGGGGGGGGGGGGGGGGGGGGGGGGGGGGGGGGGGGGGGGGGGGGGGGGGGGGGGGGGGGGGGGGGGGGGGGGGGGGGGGGGGGGGGGGGGGGGGGGGGGGGGGGGGGGGGGGGGGGGGGGGGGGGGGGGGGGGGGGGGGGGGGGGGGGGGGGGGGGGGGGGGGGGGGGGGGGGGGGGGGGGGGGGGGGGGGGGGGGGGGGGGGGGGGGGGGGGGGGGGGGGGGGGGGGGGGGGGGGGGGGGGGGGGGGGGGGGGGGGGGGGGGGGAGGGGGGGGGGGGGGGGGGGGGGGGGGGGGGGGGGGGGGGGGGGGGGGGGGGGGGGGGGGGGGGGGGGGGGGGGGGGGGGGGGGGGGGGGGGGGGGGGGGGGGGGGGGGGGGGGGGGGGGGGGGGGGGGGGGGGGGGGGGGGGGGGGGGGGGGGGGGGGGGGGGGGGGGGGGGGGGGGGGGGGGGGGTGGGGGGGGGGGGGGGGGGGGGGGGGGGGGGGGGGGGGGGGGGGGGGGGGGGGGGGGGGGGGGGGGGGGGGGGGGGGGGGGGGGGGGGGGGGGGGGGGGGGGGGGGGGGGGGGGGGGGGGGGGGGGGGGGGGGGGGGGGGGGGGGGGGGGGGGGGGGGGGGGGGGGGGGGGGGGGGGGGGGGGGGGGGGGGGGGGGGGGGGGGGGGGGGGGGGGGGGGGGGGGGGGGGGGGGGGGGGGGGGGGGGGGGGGGGGGGGGGGGGGGGGGGGGGGGGGGGGGGGGGGGGGGGGGGGGGGGGGGGGGGGGGGGGGGGGGGGGGGGGGGGGGGGGGGGTGGGGGGGGGGGGGGGGGGGGGGGGGGGGGGGGGGGGGGGGGGGGGGGGGGGGGGGGGGGGGGGGGGGGGGGGGGGGGGGGGGGGGGGGGGGGGGGGGGGGGGGGGGGGGGGGGGGGGGGGGGGGGGGGGGGGGGGGGGGGGGGGCGGGGGGGGGGGGGGGGGGGGGGGGGGGGGGGGGGGGGGGGGGGGGGGGGGGGGGGGGGGGGGGGGGGGGGGGGGGGGGGGGGGGGGGGGGGGGGGGGGGGGGGGGGGGGGGGGGGGGGGGGGGGGGGGGGGGGGGGGGGGGGGGGGGGGGGGGGGGGGGGGGGGGGGGGGGGGGGGGGGGGGGGGGGGGGGGGGGGGGGGGGGGGGGGGGGGGGGGGGGGGGGGGGGGGGGGGGGGGGGGGGGGGGGGGGGGGGGGGGGGGGGGGGGGGGGGGGGGGGGGGGGGGGGGGGGGGGGGGGGGGGGGGGGGGGGGGGGGGGGGGGGGGGGGGGGGGGGGGGGGGGGGGGGGGGGGGGGGGGGGGGGGGGGGGGGGGGGGGGGGGGGGGGGGGGGGGGGGGGGGGGGGGGGGGGGGGGGGGGGGGGGGGGGGGGGGGGGGGGGGGGGGGGGGGGGGGGGGGGGGGGGGGGGGGGGGGGGGGGGGGGGGGGGGGGGGGGGGGGGGGGGGGGGGGGGGGGGGGGGGGGGGGGGGGGGGGTGGGGGGGGGGGGGGGGGGGGGGGGGGGGGGGGGGGGGGGGGGGGGGGGGGGGGGGGGGGGGGGGGGGGGGGGGGGGGGGGGGGGGGGGGGGGGGGGGGGGGGGGGGGGGGGGCGGGGGGGGGGGGGGGGGGGGGGGGGGGGGGGGGGGGGGGGGGGGGGGGGGGGGGGGGGGGGGGGGGGGGTGGGGGGGGGGGGGGGGGGGGGGGGGGGGGGGGGGGGGGGGGGGGGGGGGGGGGGGGGGGGGGGGGGGGGGGGGGGGGGGGGGGGGGGGGGGGGGGGGTGGGGGGGGGGGGGGGGGGGGGGGGGGGGGGGGGGGGGGGGGGGGGGGGGGGGGGGGGGGGGGGGGGGGGGGGGGGGGGGGGGGGGGGGGGGGGGGGGGGGGGGGGGGGGGGGGGGGGGGGGGGGGGGGGGGGGGGGGGGGGGGGGGGGGGGGGGGGGGGGGGGGGGGGGGGGGGGGGGGGGGGGGGGGGGGGGGGGGGGGGGGGGGGGGGGGGGGGGGGGGGGGGGGGGGGGGGGGGGGGGGGGGGGGGGGGGGGGGGGGGGGGGGGGGGGGGGGGGGGGGGGGGGGGGGGGGGGGGGGGGGGGGGGGGGGGGGGGGGGGGGAGGGGGGGGGGGGGGGGGGGGGGGGGGGGGGGGGGGGGGGGGGGGGGGGGGGGGGGGGGGGGGGGGGGGGGGGGGGGGGGGGGGGGGGGGGGGGGGGGGGGGGGGGGGGGGGGGGGGGGGGGGGGGGGGGGGGGGGGGGGGGGGGGGGGGGGGGGGGGGGGGGGGGGGGGGGGGGGGGGGGGGGGGGGGGGGGGGGTGGGGGGGGGGGGGGGGGGGGGGGGGGGGGGGGGGGGGGGGGGGGGGGGGGGGGGGGGGGGGGGGGGGGGGGGGGGGGGGGGGGGGGGGGGGGGGGGGGGGGGGGGGGGGGGGGGGGGGGGGGGGGGGGGGGGGGGGGGGGGGGGGGGGGGGGGGGGGGGGGGGGGGGGGGGGGGGGGGGGGGGGGGGGGGGGGGGGGGGGGGGGGGGGGGGGGGGGGGGGGGGGGGGGGGGGGGGGGGGGGGGGGGGGGGGGGGGGGGGGGGGGGGGGGGGGGGGGGGGGGGGGGGGGGGGGGGGGGGGGGGGGGGGGGGGGGGGGGGGGGGGGGGGGGGGGGGGGGGGGGGGGGGGGGGGGGGGGGGGGGGGGGGGGGGGGGGGGGGGGGGGGGGGGGGGGGGGGGGGGGGGGGGGGGGGGGGGGGGGGGGGGGGGGGGGGGGGGGGGGGGGGGGGGGGGGGGGGGGGGGGGGGGGGGGGGGGGGGGGGGGGGGGGGGGGGGGGGGGGGGTGGGGGGGGGGGGGGGGGGGGGGGGGGGGGGGGGGGGGGGGGGGGGGGGGGGGGGGGGGGGGGGGGGGGGGGGGGGGGGGGGGGGGGGTGGGGGGGGGGGGGGGGGGGGGGGGGGGGGGGGGGGGGGGGGGGGGGGGGGGGGGGGGGGGGGGGGGGGGGGGGGGGGCGGGGGGGGGGGGGGGGGGGGGGGGGGGGGGGGGGGGGGGGGGGGGGGGGGGGGGGGGGGGGGGGGGGGGGGGGGGGGGGGGGGGGGGGGGGGGGGGGGGGGGGGGGGGGGGGGGGGGGGGGGGGGGGGGGGGGGGGGGGGGGGGGGGGGGGGGGGGGGGGGGGGGGGGGGGGGGGGGGGGGGGGGGGGGGGGGGGGGGGGGGGGTCTGATCGCAGCGTGAGAGCCGGGCGCACCCAGTGGCCGTCGGAGGTGTACTGCGCGAGATTTCTGGGCTTGGTTACACTGAGGGGAAGGATCATGGTATTCATCTCGGCAAACGTTCGATAGATAACCCCGACATATTTTAATTGCATCATATTCACCGCTACCATCCTACGGGACGTGTCAAGCACTTGCTTTTATCCCATGATAAATCATTGTTCATTGTTCAACTTCAGCTCTATAGAGATGGTGACCCACTGCTGCGTTGGATGGGCAAAGTTGGTTGGATTTGAGAGTACAAAAATCCCTGTCAAACGCTATTGAGATGGAGCACGGCGTACTAAAAGACTCGGTGCTCGAGCCCCGTCTATTATTGATTTCCATAAACCATCTGACTAAGGAAATTAATTCCGATTTCCTATTCTTCGTGGATGATGTCAAGTTATAACGAGAGATCAAAGAACGGAATGACCACGGAAAGCTTCAGCGTGATCTCAGCACCGTTTCAAATTGTTCAGTGCTGAAGGCACTACCGTTCAAGGTTAAAAATATCCCGCTGTTCTATTGCGCCATAGACATGATTACGTGTATAGGATTAAGTCACATACATTGCAAAAGATCCCCAAGAACACGAAGTTGGTATGCTCATTCAAAGTGAACTTAACTGTTCAAAACCATCTGAGTCAGCTGCGAAGAGAGCCAACCAGCATATGGGTTTGTTGTGGACAGCATTCGGAGGTTTCGTCCCATCCATCTTCCCCATGATGCAGAATCCTTACGTGCGCTCTCACGTTGAATACGCCATCCAAGCTTGGCAACACTGGTTGAAGCGCGGGTTAAAAGTGCCAGAGAAACCGCAACGCAGTGCTACAGAGAACGTCAAGGACCTACGAAATCTGTCCTATCATCAACTGTTGAAGTCAAAGGAGTTATCGCAGTAGCCGCTACCGAAGGCTGCGCGGTGAACTCATATCAGTATAAAAAGACCTCATATTATGATTTAAGTAGTTCACAAGCTAAATAGCGGCGCCTAGTCCGGAAAAGCGCTAGCCGAGTTTCGCCTTATTTGGGCTCGTTATTGGTGCGCATGATCTCGGTCCCCAACTAGGGGTCGAAACCATAACCGCTACAGGCAGATACCAAACGTATTCAGCAGCTCAAGCCACTGTGCCAAATGGGACGTTGGCTGGGCTAGGTAATTTGCAAGCTAACTGGGATATTAGTGTACCAAATATTGAGTGACCCTGATCATGTATGCCGTCCCATTCTGAAACTCAGCCATAACACGAATCTCAAAGTTAGCCCACTGAAATTGTGTGCACAGTATATCCGCTTGGAATGTAGGCATAATTGTTTTTCTCTTCGGGTTTGCCAACACTGTAACTCTCTACCAAAATTCGTTGTTTCTTCCTTCACCTTGGCTACTTCCAAAAAACGATAGGATGTTGCACTTGGCCCCCATCACTTCGTCGCCTAAACTGTGCTACTCTGCAATATATTAATTATTCCTTTAAACCGCATTCATAGGTTACATAATCATGAGGACTCTGTAAAGAATGGATTTTTCTTCTTTTTACTAACCTCATGTTGCCTTGTCTTTCGCATTCAGTTTTTTCTCAATGAATGTCTCATGAAAGCTATTCTTCGCAGTATCAGCTAAAGACTGCCGATCATGCATCCTGAATCGTGCGCGTATAATGCGGTTGTTGATTACCGAGGCTCACAACGGTCGCAGGAAAAATAAGAGATGACTTTGACAACAATAACAACCAAAACCCACCTACTGATTAGTAGTAAAAATAACAACCCTATACTGTAGTAAAATGTTGAGCTGCAAAAACTAAGAGGAAGCATATTGCGCTTCACGATAAGTTATCAAAATTGACCACTTCTAAGCTCGAGAATATTAGTGACGTCTGAATTACAAAGTTTTCTAACTGATCAATCCACTACGCCGTAGAGGAAGTAAGCATCAAGAGATTAAGTAACGATTTCAGAGATGCGGCATTCGGAATCGCATTACTATTTAAGGATTCTTATGAAATTACTCGGAAGCAACTATGATATAGAACTATGCCCGCTATAGCGCGCAACAAGCAGTACAGTACCCCAACCAAAAAGGAAGCACAAAATATCTGGGTGAGTATAATTCACGGAATTGCATGATAAACTGATAATTTATAAGTAGTTCACTTCTGTCTATCATTTCACCATGCCGCCGATCTTCATCTAACGATAACTTGCACATTGACAGATGTTGACTTGTAATCCGATGCTTATCCGAATGAAATAACTGATATTAGTGTTTAATTGGATGCTTCTACTTTTCTTTCTATAACCTTCCCTCCTTTTAACCATTACCTGAGCCTATTTGTCCCGTCCTTTGTGTTACTACGCTGCGTCTACGGAGCTTCCATTACTGCTGCTGTTCGAACTTGACTGGTTTTATTTTACATCCGTTTGCGAGTCTATTCATCTATTCGTAAGTCAACCCTACTTATATATCCACGGTCTATTTATACAAATTATTCCGCCCAATGCCTCCATATTTTACCGTATAGACGGTGCATATGTTTGGTCAGTTGGCTTGTCAGTCGGCAATACCTGTCACAGTTATATAAGTTGAAAAGTCTGACACGCATTTTAATGGATAAAATAAACAAATGTTGTATAACGGCGAAGCCACCAAATATTTGTAACCTGAACCCAGAAGCGTCTCAGTAGTAGTTGGCTGCAACTTTCCTTTGGATTCTAAAACTAGAACAAAGGTTACAGTAATCTGAACTGGAGGGAGAACGAATAGCGTCTCGCGGGTTGGTTAGGTTGGACAATGACTCATAATTTCGCCACAGTGAATTCGATGGTGATATGTTCGTAGACCACCAATTGATGGGTGTCTTGTGACGCTGCGGGACATTGACGTATTAGTTCAGTCATCTTGTTCTTCGATGCAGTCAGAGACTTGACCTGTTGGCATGCCTCTAGTTTTATTGGATAGCGCGCTTGGAAGTCTTGCTTGACAGGAGGCAGGGACGGTTGAATGTTTTTAGGGCGGGCAAAGCAAGAAATCCTCCACTTTAACGGGTGTCCCATACGTTATTAGATGTTTATTTCCAGTTTCCAATGGAGCGACATGAATGCTACGGCGAATCCGGAACCTAGACTGTCCTAATTGATCAATTATTGTTATGGACCTCTAGGGTAGCCTTCAAAATTGATGTAATCCTAGACCCCGTGGAAGATTTCCGAGACGCATTGGTCGTCCACACTTAATTGCTCGGACTCACGTTGACTATTTGGTGTAGGGATCTCAAGTGAGAGTTAAAGCTTCCGAGGATTTTCACAATCTGACGAGGCAAATAGACGCCTGCCTGAACACGCTCCAACAGCTGGATTACGAACCCGAGTTAAATGTAAGCGTAACTGTAGCAGTAATCGTTAAAAGGCTTTCGTACGCTTTGCAGCTAGGGTGGTCTTAAAGTGCGTCCGGTTTAATTCGGTGTGGATGAGAACCCACCTTCGTATAGCTGTACCAGTCCGTTCGTGAATGTGCCGAAGCCTTGGAAACTCAAGTGATCTCTTTGGACGAAATGATGCAAATGCGGAAAGGGTTTCTTGGGATGAATGGACTGGAAACCGGGAGAAACTGGATAAATGCCTTAACAACGAGAGAATGGATACAACCAAGTCGTAGAGTCCTACTGCCTTGTTCGATATGCACATAAAACCATTATTTGCATCTGTGTTCCTTGTTTCTATCCATGGATGATATCCAACGGTTAGCGGTCGTATCTCGGAAAGCTTAATATCTGAGATGCATGAAGCCAAGGCGTGCGTTGAGTAGTAGTAAAGGACGATACGTTAAGAGTTAAAACATCGTCCATTACAGTACGGTGCAAGTACAGTTCAATCGCCTCCACCACGTGCCATAGTAAATGAAACCCTAGGGTTAGTTGGCAAGGTTGCTTAAGCTTGATTCCCGTCAGGCTTTGTGGTAAAGATGATATCGGTAAGTGCCTTGTTGGATCCAGGGTCAGACTCATCACTTATGAAGGAACAGCTATTAAAGGCGATTAAACTACCGACTGAACGTCGTTAGTCGAAATACCTACTGTCAACGGAGACAATCAGGTTTACTCACATGTGACCAAGCTAAAGTTACCGTCATTGGATGGGGAAAATCCTCCTTACGTGGACCATACCTGATCCGTTAAAATGACGCATGACGTCAAACGAAATATACCAGAGTCAAAGTGTCTGAAACTTTGGACACATTTAAGGACCTGAAATTTCCGGATAGCTATGTAGAAGGCATAAGTATCCTTATAGGCATGAATGCTCCGCGGTCGTTTGAGCATAGATATGGAAGAATTTCCGAACACTGTGCTATACGAACCCCTTTGGATTTGGTTCTGCTCCGTCCAATCGAGAGTCAAGGCGCACCAAGTATTTATGCAAGCGGCTCCCTATCCCAACGCAGACCTAAACTCGCGCCGTCAGATTTCAAGTTAAGCTTGTTACCCTTAGGCTACGGGCTGGAAACCTGTTCGAGGATTGTTTATGCTTTAGTATAATAAACGTCGAAAAGACTTATTCCCAATGACCTATTTTTTCTTTTGTCGCATCTATGTACGACCCAATGGGCCTAGTTGTTCCGGCTTTGATCCAAGTCAAGGAATTCTTGCAAGCGTTTGTCCAAAAAGGAATGGCATGGGATACGCCACTCAATGAGCCAGAACGAGATGGCTTACTCCAAACTTAAAAGCGATGTTCCTTCGTTAGAATAGCTGAAGACCATGATACATTATACCGGGACGCTTTGTTGGCAGTCAAATACAGGCACCTTGTTTCTCAGATGTTTCAAAGGCAGTATACGAAGCGTTGTTGTACGCAAGGTTCCTAGGTCTGGATAACCAATGCAACACCACCATCCTCATGGAGAAGTCCCGTGCATCCCCTATAAAAGTGATCACAATACTTCGAATAAACTTGCAGCTGCTTTTGCTGCTTTTCCATTCC